CCCCAAAACCCCAAAACCCCAAAGCGCAGTAATAGCAAAGTTAATAATTAAGACCAAATAAAGATTAATTTTTGTAGTATTTTATGGTATGTACACACTTTAAATCCTTGGAAGTTATTTAGGTTAAAAACTTCGATAGAAATGAAATAAGACTGACAGTATTAGATGATTAATCAAACAGTTATCAGTCTGATCAATAATTATTAGGCTATATTTGCTCCTTTGGATTAATGCCTTGCAGAATTTTACTGGCCAATATAGTATTCATTTACCACTCTATATCTAGATTATCTTGTCTAGTATCGCGTAGTCTATTCTTAATTTTGTTCAATTTATGCTGCTTTTACTTGACTTTGCTATTCATTTTCTTAAGTTTTAATTTTTACTCTTAAAGCTATTCCTCTTTTTAGGCTAATAACTGCATAAAAAACTAAATTTAGATGCCCTAAAAAAATATGAAAATGCAGTTAGCTTACTGGATCTGTACCAATTAGCTAGCCTTGATCAGCTTTTTAAATCTGAGATTTGACGTAAGTACTTTCAACATCTATTAAAGCCTATGAAGATGATCTCTTAAGCTCATAAAGCCTACTTTTGCTCATACTTTAATTCTAAATAAACGTATAAGAAATCTATATAATCTTACTAATGAATCATTTAACTTAGGCTTCTCTTTACCTCCATCAGGTGAAAAATAGGTTTAACTTTATGTTTAGCTATGAGTGGTGTTACTATGATTATGATGATTATCCATTATTTGACTGTTATTTTATTGAATATTGGTAATCTCTTTGATAGCATTTTAACTAGGTACTAAGCTACTTCCTACAATATTAAGCTGCTAATTTGGCATTTGTTGTAATTGATTGGGCTACTTGACCTCCTTCAAGTTTTTGTCCAATTTAAATGCATCTTCAAGATTTATATTTTTAGCATTGCTTGATAATGGAGAGCTGATACATGACTGTTTCTTGTTAGAAAAAGGATTTTAAGCATTCATAAGCTATTTTTAGGGCATTGAGTTCGATTCAGCATAAGATGACTATTGTTGTAGAGGTTATTTATCCTTATTAAGATTCAATGTGTCATCGAGAAGTTTCTTTTGATGCTCTGGACTCTAAGTCTTAAGATGGTAGTTCATCATATTTTACCTAGCTGAGTTATAGTTCTGTTAGATTTTTGAGTCAATTAACTGACTAGGATTTACAGGCAGTGAATCTCTATTGAAATATTTTTTATCTGCACCATTGAGAATGTAAGCTGAATTGTTAAAAGCAAACTTATCCTTGACTCCTGATGGATTAAAAGTAGAGAAATCTTTAAGTCTGTTAATAAAGCTGTTATTGATATTTTTGCCAGATTGCTCATCATACTCAATTTCCTCTCCAATATTGCAGTCAATCTCCTCATGATTCAGGAAACTTTCTGAGAAATTGAGTAAACTACTGCGATCAAAGTTGCTTTTTAAATTCACTTAGTTTGATTTTATCTCATCTTTCTTGTTTGGTTATTGTACTTCTGACTAGCTTTTTATTTAGGCAACATCACTCAATTAAAGATCTTTATTGATATTAATAATAGTTGATTGGTCTCTCCTAATAAGCTATCGAGGTTGTGATGATTAATCTAACTCAAAGATCTTGTTTGGGTTCTTTTCGGGTGAATGCATCCCCTCTTACTTATTCTCAGATCTATTTAAAGGTCAACATTGAATGTATATACTCTTTCTGATAAGTCTAAAGATTCTTAGTTGACGTGCAGCAGCAAAGCAACGTCTTAAGCTTACTCGGCTTTTTTTACTTATCCTCTTTTTCACTTTTATCTTTAGGCTTTTTTATGTCTTGTTTTTTAGACATTTTATTGTTATTATTTTATGAAATTAAAATGAAATAAGAATAATTAAAATTTAAATGCCTCTGATGAAATAAATATCAATCTCTAGATTTCAGAGTAGAATGCTCAAATCTCACAATTATTCGAATCTAATTCAAATGTTTCAAGATTCTCGAATTTTTTCTATTAGATATTTTATGAATCGTCTCCTTCTTTAATTTAGTTCTTCTTGGATCCATCAATTTTAGCTGAAGCAAGGTTCTCGTAATCTTGATCTGCTAGCAGTCCTGCATCATTATCTTGAATTCTTGGGAACATTTGATGGACTAATTCCGCCAAAAGCTGATACCTATCATTGAATTATATAGACTATAAATTTTACGTCTTTTTGTATAAGGAGTCAAAATGATGAATCTCTCCTTAAGGATTGATTATAAAAATATTTCTCAAATCAATATCCACAGCTCTGTAGGAGATAGCATCTGTCTCTCTATTGCCGAATCCACCATGGAATGGATTTGTCTCATGCTAGAATAGCTCTTTTATTATCTTCAATGTAAATATCTTGAACACCTATACATTATTACAGCAGAAATAATTACATAAGGTTTGCGGAATATCACTTCTCTTTTGAGGGACTTCATAGCTCTATCTGGACTCATGATAACAGGGCCATCAGGCAAACTCAATTTTTCCTGGGATATCCCCTTTATATAATCCCTCGTAGTATCAGCCATTCCTATTGGTCTTGCAGTCAAATACAAGAACTCATACCCGTTAGACTTGATATCATTAAATAATTTTGCTATGCCAGGATGAGACCAGTCTCTTCCAAATCTTGGCAAAAGATGGCCAAGCAAATCACTTTTAGTGATGGTTCCATCAACATCTGAAATAATTATCTTGGTGTCATAGTTCCACAAGAATATCCTTCCCCTTAAAATCTATCTACCTTAAATCCTAGATTGAACTGAGTAGATAATGTCATTGCATCCTTGTTTTAAGTCTAAAGTTTCAAGCTAGTCCTTTGTAGGGTAAATACTCTTTTGATACTTAGTTTTACTTCTTGATTGATATTTGTCATTTTGGAGCTCTTCTTTTAGAGACAAAGACTTTGTCCTTTGAAACTGCTTGATTTCAAAGATAGTGCTCTTCTTCTCTTCATCAGGCACATCGCAATCAGAACCAGAACAGTTATCATCGGATATCGGATCAACATCATCTTAAGCAGGCTTGAAATCAAGAGGTTCAAAGGGCTTCTTGCAATATATTTCATTGAAATTTATCTTTTTATTCCCTTGAATCTCATTTTGAATCTCTCTTTCTATAGTCTTCTGAATTGTTTCTGGCGACTGCTTTAAAAAGTCGTAGTCAACTTTTTCCTCTTCAAGATTATTCTTGCTTTTAAAGGTCCTTGACCTCTAAGTTCTAACTTACTTCTAGTCTATCATATTATCCATTTAGTTATTAGGAATAAGTTTAGGAGGAGCTTTTTGCATCTCTGACTTAAAGTTCTAATCTTCTATCATAGACACCTATTTGGATAAATTGAATTATGAAATACTCTTTTCTTTTGAATGAAAACTGCTTCTCCTGCTGCTCCTAGTTTCATCTTTAAGTCTTAGGGTTTACCATTTACTTCAATGTTTACCTAGTATTGTTAATGATTCTCTGAGTCACAGATAATTTTAATGCTTTACTATTTTATCACTTGAATTCAATATTTTAAGTTTTCCAAATCTCACGTGAAATGGAGAACTTTTTAGGGATCCATCGGGCTATCTAACTACGATAATGTCAATACAACCACTTAATGTAGCCTAAACAATGTTTAAGTAATAATAGTACTGTGTTGATGGTGAATAAATTCGAGAAGAGATTGAACATTTTGTGCCAATTATTTATTCAAAGTAATAATATTGATTAATCTATTTTATTTATCCTTGCCTTCTGATTCTTTCTCATTCATTAATTAAACTTGCTGGGGTTTTGGGGTTTTGGGGTTTTGGGG